CCCGATGCTGAAACTCTTAGCCCCCATTAACTACCGGTCTAGAACAAGCACATGTCCCATTTGGCACCCGAGGGAGACGGAGGAAGCCCCTCTATGTTACGCAGGCAGGGATGGGAAGAGACGCTGCAGCTTTTGCCAAGGACAAGGCAAGCCCTCCCCAAGCACCGATCCCGCTCTCCCTCGGTGAGCGTGGCTGGTCAAAGACTGTGGCAACCGCCTGGCGCTCAGGCCCCGATTCACCCAGCTGGGGAGACTGAAGGGAAACAAGCCGGCCTGCCATCTTGCTCACGTCTGAGCGGAAAAAACCTTGCGACCCATTTTTCGCCCCCTTCAGAATGTTTTTATAGCACCTCTCCATTGGAAACCCTTGCTGAGCGTCACTGGATGAAAACAATGGGCGGGGAACAGATCCAGCTATGCAGTGTCTCCACGAGACGCATTCTGAAACAGCTGCGGAAAGCAGGATCTCTCCCGGTCCCTTCCCACACCGCTGCAGCGGACGCCGGTTTAGAGGCCAAGGACTTTTCTGGGCATTTAAACGCGAGGTTTAAATCCATTTGCCCCAAACCGGGCTGAGATGCGCACAGAAACCCTTACTCGGCCTCTCCTTTCTGCCCCCTCGGACAGAACCATGGTTTGCCGTGGGTAGGCCAACGCATCTCAGCAGGGTTTTAACGAGTGCTGTGCTTGTGGCTTGCACTGATGGGTTAATTTAACCTGCAGTTTTATATTTATTTTATTTATTTATTAAAACATTTTTATGCCGCCCCATTCGCCGAAGCCTCGGGGCGGCTTACAACATTGATAAAACAATAAGTTAAAATCCATATAAAATAATCTTAATTAAAACACTGATGTTTTATAATATTATACTGATGTTATTCTTTTCTTTTCCTTCCTACTTCGTGGAAGCCACTCAAGTGCTCACTGGGCAGAAGGACATTCTCCTTCTGATAATAACATTTATTTATTTATTTATTTATTTATTTTTCGATTTATATCCTGCCCTTTTCCTACAAAGGGCTCAAGGCAGCTTACATCATTCTCCTCCTCCATCTTATCCCCACAACAACAACCCTGTGAGGTAGGTTGGGCTGAGAGTCTGTGACTGGCCCAAAGTCACCCAGTTGGCTCCATGGCTGAGCGGGGACTCGAACCCAGATCGTCTGAGTCCCAGTCCCAGCTCTTAACCACTGCACCGCACTGGCTCTCCTCCCGTGTCTCCCTTTGACACAGCCCGCATCTGTCCAGATCGCGGGACTTCTCCCTTTGCTTGGGGAACATGGAATCAGTCCTCAAAAGGCCCAACTGCTCTTCCCACCCTTAACCGCACCCACAACACCACCCTGTCCCAGCCTCTGCCTCCAGCCCTCCATCCTCCTCTGTGGCTGTGGGAGCCATTCTTGAATTTGGTTGTCTCCAGTGGGTGAAAGCTGGATCATAAGGAAGTCTGAGTGCCGGAGGATTGAGGCCTTTGAATTGTGGTGCTGGAGGAGACTCCTGTGAGTCCCTTGGACCACAAGGCGATCAAACCGGTCAGTCCTAGAGGAGATCGACCCTGACTGCTCTTTAGAAGGCCAGATCCTGAAGATGAAACTCAAATACTTTGGCCACCTAATGAGAAGGAAGGACTCCCTGGAGGAGAGCCTGATGCTGGGAACAATAGACAGCAAAAGAAGGAGGGGACGGCAGAGGATGAGGGGGCTGGATGGAGTCACTGGGGCGGTGGGTGTGGGCTTGGGTGGACTCCAGGGGATGGTGGAGGACGGGAAGGCCTGGAGGAATGTTGTCCATGGGGTTACGATGGGTCGGGCACGACTTCGCGACTAAGCAAACAAAAACAAGATAGCAGAATTCCTAAGCCTGCCCCTGTTTGTGGGGTTGAGCTTAGGGTATCCTGATCAGAAGGGAAAACAACAGGGCTTTGATCTGATTTAGCTGGCGAAGACCCCACCTATCAGGGATGGCAAGCTCCCCTATTTAATTAGCAAACATCCAAGCAGGTGCAACCTTTCATCTGAGTGACATGTCATTTGCCTTTGCAAATAACTCCTGCTGAGAAGCATCCCGGGGAGGACGTGGGCGCATCCTCTCCTTGGGGCAAGCTGCAACCGCTCTGTCGTTCTGGCTCTTCCTGGGCATTCTGCCTTGATGTTTTGTCTTCTAGAGAACCACGTGGAGATGGGGAGAGGAGGTGGCTGGGACAGAGACAGGCACTGGCTTGGGTCCTCCCGATGAGGCTGCAAAGCCGATAGGATGCGCCCTTGATTTGTGTTCCCTTTCAAAGGTACTCTTTGGTCATTGGAAGGAAGCTACTGGGTTTCTTTTAGAGACTGGGGGCAATATTCTATTGGCAGCAGCAACACATTTTATAGCTGAGACGGAATTCCCCAGCTGGAGGTGTCTCATTATTAAGGGTGATTAAAATCTCTGGGAGTCAATTTCACAGATCCAAGCCTCAAAGTTAATAAAAATAAAATATTGTTGGGATAAGCCAAACCGATTCTGCCTTATCTGCAGCAGTGGCAGGTTAACCTTTGGGGTTTCTTTCACTTACGGGGTTTGGATTAGAGCACAATAATTGACAATTACTGCACTGAAATGGAAGAAGCCCAGAAATAAAACCCAGACTGTCTGAAAAGTACATTTTCTTCCATATTATGGGAACCTTCCCCAAACTGGGAAGCCAAGCATAGCAGGATTGGGAGCAGCCCAGTACGTCCATCGGTGAAAGACACATTACACACCAATTTTAATACGGAATGGAAGAAATAACTCGCCTTGGAACCTTGCAGGGGAAAAAGAGGAGAAACAACTTTCCTCTGCATTTGTCTGCGTCTCTCCCCACAAGTCTTCTCCACCTCGGTTTCTGCTCTCTGCACCACATCCCTGCAGCTCCCACCCCAAACGCACACACTGTGTGCCCCCACCTCTTCCCAAGCTCAGCTTAAAATCCATTTTCCTCCAGAAGCCCGTCCTTGACTCCTGGGCTCTCCTTCCCAGCAAAAAGGAAGCGTTCCCGTGCAATCTTATAGCTGTTTATTCAGAAGTAAGCCGCACTGAGGTCAGAGGGGCTGAGTCCAAGTCAAGGGAAAGAAGATTGAAGCCGGGGGGCACCGTGCACAGGGGTGACCCAAAACCCCTGAATGGGAACGCTGCAGGCATCCCATGCAGAATTTGGGGAGCCCGCGAGTGATCGTCGCTGCCCTGATCCTTCCCCTCTGGGCGCCTCGCTCCTTGCATTGGGCAGGAAAGAGGCTAGGGCATCCCCTGGGTATGTCATGACCCCCACGGCCTGGCCTCTTCCTCTCCCCCTGGATTGCCCTCCTTACCGGCTGGAGAGGCAGCAGAAACAGAGGCTGTCTCCAGGCCTTGGTATGAACCCTCCCCTCCCCCACTATTCAAGCTACTTCGGGGCTATTTTTACTCTGCAAACAATGCACAGACCTCGTTTCATATCCATGCCACTGAAGATATTTTTCTTAAACAAGCTCTCCCCAGCTGACCAGCCCATGCTTTTATTGGCATTCTCTGGTGTTTAAACTGTTCATTCTGAGCCTTGATCCGCCACCTTTTTCTGCTCACTGCTTGGGAATTTTAGAGGACCTAGAACTTTATATGAATCCTGTGAATAATTAAAATGCTATATATAGGGACTGCCTCTATAAATATGATCAGCAATATCCACAGACCAGAGCAAGCATTCAGTTTCCCTCCCACATTGACAGCCTTGGTAGTGACAACGTGCAAAATGCTCCCATTCGCGTTCTGGGCAACGGAAGATCGCAGAAGCGACACCTGGTGTTCAGGAATTTGCTCCACTTCCGTGCGCTCAGGTGCTCATGCAATGCACGGGGCACACGCGGGTGGAGAGGGGATCCCTCCTCAGCTCTCCCTCTCTCTTAGGCCCCACTGTTACCCCCCTGGGATTGGGGAAGGTACCCAGAGCGCAGCCTAGTCAAGTTCTCTGGGGCGCGTGCCAGGAGGTAACGGCAAGGGGGTGCTGGCAGGGTGCTTGGGCAGGCACATGCAACTAGGGTTGGGATGAACCCCTTTGGAAGCTGCCCTCCTGCATCCGTAGCCTTCCTCTCAACTGTACTCTCTGAACTAGACTACTGCAGTGCACTCCACGTGGGGCTGCCCTTGAAGACTGTTCGGAAGCTGCAGCAGCTTGTGCAAAATGCAGCCGCCAGGGACCCGCCGGTCTGATCACATAACTCCCATTCTGGCCCGCTGCACCAGCTGCCTATATGTTTCTGAGCCCAGCTCAAGGTGCTGGTTTTAACCTCTTAAGCCCCTGCATGGCTCAGGACCACAAGGCCTGATGGAACGCCTTTCCCTGAACACCACGACGCAGTTCCGGGGCCTGCCTCTGACTTGCTAGTGGCGACACTAGCTTGCTAGTAGGCTTGCTAGTGGCAACAAGGAGAAGGGCCTTTTTGGTGGTGACCAAAACGTCATGGAACCCGCCCCCCACTGAAGCCTGCCGGCTGCCAACCTCAGCGTCTTTTGAGCGCCAGGTTAAGATGGTCCTCAGCCAGAAGGCACTGAATTAGTTTCTCGTGGCTTTGCCGGCTGCTTCCACAGGTCTTAAGCTTTCCTTTGCTTGAGGCACTGTCATCTGTGCGTGCGTTTTAAATGTCTGCCTTGGCTATTGGGCAGCACAGAAGATAATTAAATACATGCGTAATAAAACGCTGGGGCGGGGGCAGCTGCAGCTCGACAGCAAAGCCTCCACGCTGCTTGGAGGAGGCTGCCGGAACCCCTCCTGACAGTGCCTGGGCTAAAGGGACCGGCACCCTGATTCCGTGCGTGTGCTTGGATGCACGCATGCACGCATGCACGCACGCACGCACGCACACAGCTTTCAAATCCCCGGTCCCCAGCTGCGGCCTCAGATGGGACGGTCCTGACTTCCAGCATGCGAGTGAAGACGGCTGCTTGGGGACCCCAACGGGGCAGGGCGCGGAAGGCGGAGGCGTGCACGAGGCGGCCCTTACCTCCGAGGGCGTGTTCGGTCATACTGAGGCACAGGGACTCCAGCCTGTTATTGATGTCCGGTTCTGTCGCGGGTACCTGGAACTCTGCGAGGAAAAGGCAGAATTAATGCGGCACCGATGCAGCCGTGGGCACAGCTTGCACCGACGGTGTGTTTCTGTGAGGCGGGGGCCGCGCCACTGGCCATGGCCTCTCTGTGCGGCCTACATCATCTTAGCTAGAGGGACGTCCAGCTGTGGCCGTTGCTTTCCCTGCCCACCCCCCTGAGACACGCGTATTCCTGGGGAATTTATTTGCCCGTGTTACACTCGCCAAGAGTTCTCTCCCTCGCCCCCTGGGACTGCGGCCAGATAATTTCGAGGCAAATGGAAAGTGGGGCCCATCGACCACCCAGAGGCAGTAAGTTTCCCGGCAAGGAAGATCTGCCCTTTCGGGAATGGTGGAGGCGCCAGATCAACACACCCGGGGGACGGGGGGGGGGGGGGACGAGGCTGGGGAGAAGCCAGAATGATATATCCGAATACACGATGCCCCCGTTTCACAGAAGCAGTCGATTCCCAGGTGAGCTCCTCCCTGCTGGAGGGGCCACGATCCCCAGTGGCCCCCTGCCAAGGAAAAGCCTTGGAAAAGGAAAGCAGACACGGGGCGGGGGGCATTGCTTCTCCGCAGCCATTTCCCGAACGGCGTTAAAAACCAGCCATGTGAAGCCAGCACCTTCAGAGATCTCAGGAGGGAACCCAGGGGCTGCCGCCCCCGTGAGTGCAGGGCGGCTGTCAAGTCTTCCCTGGGGGTCCTGCCAGGCTGCTCCCTGCGGGAGGGGAGAGCTTTGGCCCTCTGGCAAGTCTGCCCAGGTGCAGCCGTGCAGAGCAGCCCCCGCTCAAGCCAGGAGAGACACCTGTGCTGGGGGCTGCGTCGGATGTGGCTTCATGCAAGCAGGGCCACAGGAGGCCAAAGGGGCGAGAACCGAGCCCCAACCCGCTCCCGGAGTGGGGCAGGCGCTGGAACTGGCGGGAGGGGCTGCACGGCACCGTCCAGTGGGGACCGGAGCCCCGCGGTGGCTTCCTGGGATCGTTTTCGGAAGCGGCAGCGGCGGTCCTCCGGCGCCACAAACACGGCAGGCCTGGAAATCGGCCAAGCCGTTCCTGGCCCAAGCCGCCGTTGCCCGGCTCCCTTCCGACGCTACTCGACCGGAGCCGGGAGTGGGAGGAGCCGCCCGGAGCCGATCCCTCGGGAAGCCGGCTTGAAAGGAGCCTGGCAAACCGCAGCCGGGGAAGTGCCCAGGCCGTCCTTGCGGAGGCGGTCGCCCATCCCGGGCGGGGAGGCAGGCCTACCTGGCTGCTGGAACATGAGCATCGTCTGCGGGGAGCTGTGGACCGGCAGTGAGCGCGTCCGTTGCACCGAGGTGTGGCTGCGGCTGGGCATGCTGTTACTGCCTCCGGGGTTGGCAAACCAAAGGTTCTGCGGGCAGAAGCAAAGAGGCCCGTGCAGGGAAAGCGCTCCATGACGGCAGGGGAGGCAGGCAGGGGCGCCCCGGCTCCGCGCACGCCGGAACGTGATGCGCCACAGACCTCTGGGGCAGGGGCAGGTGCTGCGGCACACGCACGGAGGGTGCGCCCACAGGGTGGGGAAGGCGAGCGACCAGCCCGGTCCAGGGACCCTCAGGTGCGGCTCCCTGGGCAGACCCTCTCCAAAGCCGGGCTTGTCGGTGTGCGTGGCTTGGAACTTTTGTCCGCCGTGGAGGGATTTTATTTGCCAGCAGAGCTATCTCGGACTGGATGCAGGCGCAGCCCCAGCTGGAAAGCTCTGCTCCTGAGCGCCCAGGGCTAGGGCAAGGCAACCTGCAAACTTGATCCCGGGATCCCTGAAGGAACGCCTCCTCCCCTAGGTTCCCTCCCATCCCTTGAGGCCTGGAGCAGAGGCCCTGCTCCAGGGGCCCTCCTTGAAGGAGACTGGGGTGGAGGGCCTTCTCTGTGGTGGCACCCCAACTATGGAATATGCTCCCCAGAGAGGTTCGCCTGGCACCGACGTTATATTCTGTTCGACGCCAGGCAACCCCCCTTTTATTTTCCCGCTATTTTAATGTTTAATTGATTTTAGCTGGGGTTTTAGTACATTAATGGTCGGATGCTGTGCGGTTTGTTTTATTCTAAGTCGTCCTGAGATGTTTGTAGGGGATGGGATAGAAAAGCTTTTAATAAATAAATCAATAAATAAATCATAAACCCAGCCCTTGTCCTGGAAGGGGTTTGGTGTCACCCCATGAGGTCCTTTTGCGCTCCTCCTTGAGGACGGCCAGGAGGAGTCTGGAGGCTCTTGGCCAACGGCAGGGCACCATCTCCTCCAAAATGAAGGCTGTCCTTGGGGCTATTGACTATGGCCGAGAAAACAAGCCAGGGCAACTGTCTGAAGTCGGTTTCTTTCTCTAGCGCATAGAGAAATGTGCAAAGGCTCGAATGTCAAAAGGGACCACAGCTAGCTGGGAGCCAAGGATTTCAATCTCATCTTTATCGCCGCTCTGGAAAAAAAGAGGGAAGGAAGAAGCAGCGTGGCTCGGGGCGCCAAATCGGGATTTAGGACGCAGAGAAAACTAGGACGGTGTCCGGAAGAGAACTAGCAAGCCCCGATCCACATTACGGCTCTGCCTACACGAAGTCTCTGCTTAGACTCTGAAGCACCGCATGAGTTTTTGGACAGCCATGCCTCCCTCTGAAGAGTCTCCGCCCCCAGCACTGATTCATGGGATCTCTTTACGGTGCTACGGAGAGTGAAAACGGGGGTGGCTGCAGGGGTCTGGCTGACTCGGTCAAGATCTTCTCCCCGATCTAAGTGCAAAGTGTTTTAAACCTCCAGCTGAGGGAAAGCTGGATTTCCACCAAGAGGAACGGGATGGTGATACTGAAAGTCTTGGTAACCGGATGTTTAACTTGCCCTTCCTCATGGGGAAGAAAACCCCTTCCTACCCACCGACTGCGCCCTCCAGCGCTCCATCCTCCTCTGTAGCTGTGGGAGCCATTCTTGAGTTTGGTTGTCTCTAGCGGGTGAAAGCTGGACCATAAGGAAGGCTGAGCGCTGAAGGATCGAGGCCTTCGAATTGTGGTGCTGGAGGAGACTCCTGCGAGTCCCCTGGACCGCAAGGCGATCCAACCGGTCAGTCCTAGAGGAGATCAGTCCTGGCTGCTCTTTAGAAGGCCAGATCCTGAAGATGAAGCTCAAATATTTTGGCCACCTAATGGGAAGGAAGGACTCCCCGGAGAAGAGCCTGATGCTGGGAACAATAGATGGCAAAAGAAGAAGGGGATGGCCGAGGATGAGGGGGCTGGATGGGGTCACTGTGGGCCTGGGTGGACTCCAGGGGATGGTGGAGGACAGGAAGGCCTGGAGAGATGTTGTCCATGGGGTCGCGATGCGTTGGACGCGACTTCGCGACTAGCAAGAACAAGTGGATGACTCTCGGAAGTGGGAGGGACGCGTTTCACAGGGCATGTTCCCCCCCCCACGGACTGTTTAAGCAGAGCGGCAGTGCCTGCGAGCCCCCTGGCGGATCCAACGCTACTTGTTGCGTTGTGTGGACTTGCCACTCTCGGTTATGCAAGGGTCTGACCACGTGGCCTCACTCGTGGCCCAATTCTCTTGGCCTCAGCATCCACCAGAGGGAAGCACCCTCCAGGTTCTGTTCTGGCAGGGAGGATTGAACCCCAGCCTCTCAGGAAGAACATGGCCAGGAGGGGGCCAACCTGGCCACGTACAGTGGCCAAAGAAAACACTGCAAGGAGTTCGTTTCGCCCTTCCCTGCACAAAAGAACACCTTCAAGAGCTTCGAGAACTAGTGTCTGAGTTTTGCTCTTTCCTCCTCCCTCCCAGTCTTTTTTCCTTTTATGCTATGCCTGAGACTGCAAACTTAATGGCAGAGAGTTGTGATTATCATTCTTTGAAAGGTTTCTGGCTGAAGAGCAGGTGAAAATGGTGCAAACAAGCAAACAAAAGAAAGTTCCGTCCTTTAAAGAACTGTCCCGCACCTGCCAGGTACACACCTGTCTCCCTTGCTTCAGGATAGTGGGGTTGGCAGCTGCTGTGCGCTGGGCGGCTCCCAGAAGGCCACTGGGGCCCAGCAGGCCCAGCCGCGTGGTGGGGAGATTCCGGGAGGGGATCTGGAACTGGCGGGGGTTCCGCCGGCCCATCCCTGCACCGACAGATCCAGCTGCTGGTAACGAGTTCGACTGGCCAAACCCTCGGCTGGAAAACAAGACCAGACAAATCCGCTGAGCTCCGTGACTTGCGAAATCCGCCTCCTTCGGAATCGTGGCGCATTGTTACGGACCACTGGCAACTCGGAGCCAAAAAGCTTCTTCGGGGCCGCTGCTTGAAATGGAGGATCCCGTGAATTACCCCGCATTCAAAACAGGGCAATGAATGTCACAAAGGTTTGCTTTATGACTCAGTATCGTACCCCTTCTATAATAAACAGGCTATTCTTACGGATAGGAATCCAAAAGGGTTCAAAAGTCTGGAAATAAACTATGTTACAGGCCTCCTCTGCCGGCACCCCCGTTAACAGCTTCCACGGGGTTGTGGGTTCGGGTTGGGGGAATCTCCCCCACAGAGGAGGCTGCAGACGGAAAGGTTCCTTGGCCAAGGATTTCCTCCCGGCCCCCGGACGGCTCTGCCCCTCCGCGCAGCCAACTGGCCTTCCCTGACCTGGCGGGCCGGTAAAGCCGGGGCATCACTCGTCTCGCCCCCGGATGCGGCCCTTCCTGGGACTGCTTGAAGTCCGGAGCTGCCCCCCATCGCTTGACTGCCCCCACACGGCCCCCGGCACCCACGTGAGCCCCCACAGCGTCTTCCCTCCCCAGCAAGAAATCTGAAAGGCAAATCCCCAAACCTACGGTCTTTGCGGCCGATACCCCGAGAGCTCTAGGATGGATTTCCGCGGGAAAGACCTGAAGAGTTTTTGCACCTGTTGTTTCCATGACAACAGCCTTTTCTTCTGCGTCTCGGTAAATGCCTGCCCAAGACAGGGGGGTGGGGGGTGGGGGACAGAGAAACACGAGAAGCCAAATAAATTATGACAGTCCGGACCGAGGAACAAGTGATCCCAATAAAGAGGCGCTTGGAGAGGGATGAGGCATCCCGCTAAGGAAGGAAGATGGAGGGGGGAACAGCTCGTGGCTGCCGGCCAGAGCGCGCCCCACAGCCTCTCGACCCCCAAGCAACTACCCCCTGCAGGGAGAAAACCGGGCCCCGGGCACGCTCCTGCGTGCGGGTCGTGCCGAGGCCAACCGCAGGGAGAGCGCAGCCCTACTGCCTTCCCGAGGGGGCGACGGGGGGCGGGCACGGCCTCTCGGCAGCGCTTATGGTTCCTCCCGCAAGCAGACGGGCCGCGAGCTTGGCAGCACAAAGCTGCTTGGTCCTGCAGGGTGAAAAATTCAGAGGCAGCGGCGGGGCTCATGCTGCGGGTGGGCAGGCGCCGGCTGCGCCACCGAGGCACGGGGATTGTCCTTGCCGGGCAGGGCTTGGGGCGTCTTCTGAACCCGGCACGTTTGCAAGCCATCCTGCGACTCTAGGGCAAGCCCAGGGAGAGCGGTTCCCTTTGGGGGGTGGGTGTCCTGCATGAGCTAACAGAGCACCTTGCTGCCTCCCGTGAAAGAAATTAGGAGGGTGGGTACTCGGAGGGCTTTCTCTGCGGTGGCGCCTAAGTTATGGGGTCCACCTGGCGCCGTCGTTATTTGCTTTTCGGCGCCAGGCGAAGACCTTTTTATTTTATTTAAGCGGCATTTTAACTGTTAATATTATTTGATCTTATCTGGCCAGGGCGGCTTATTTTATATTGTATTTTTTGGATTTTAATGTTTATATTTATTGTAATTTATATTATAATTACTTTTATTTATTGTTGTAAGCCGCCCCGAGGCTTCGGCGAATGGGGCGGCATAAAAATGTTTTAATAAATAAATAAATAATCTCCGTTCCCTGCCCTCGTGGAGCTTTCCACAGCAGCCTCGAGTTGTGACGACACGTTTGGGAGACAACTGGGGATGGAGAAAGGGGGACGGGGTGACGGGAGGAGGGGAACAGGCTTGGCCCGGGGGCCAAGGTTTGGTCCCCGGGCCAATTCAGGTTTGGCCCAGACGGAGGGCTCCAAGCAAGTCTCGTCAGGAGCAATTAAGTACTAATTTTTCCAGAAAACCTGCAGATGTCTAGCCCAAATTCTGAGACGCTCTGGGGTCTGCGACTCGGGTTTCTTTATTCCTCTTCATGCAGACTTTGGATCCGCCAGTTCCCTCCGTGTTATGCAGGCATCCAGAGCGGCCTCTCGTCCTTAGAGTCTAATAAGGGAGTGTTTTGCTGCCCGGAAGTTTCCTGTTTGTCGCAACATGTGCCAGGCGTTTTCCTCAACTGCTTCTCAGAGGAGACCGTTGTGACTTTCTAATGATATTGGCCAGCAGATCTGGTGTGTCTTAAGTGCTCCTCGCGGAGATGCCGACGCTGCCATGTAATTAATTGCACATCTCGCAGCTTTGCTGGGTGGTCCGCCTGGCCGTTCATTTCCGCTTATGCGAAGCCGCTTGCCGGTCAAATTGGAAAGACCCGGGGCGTGGGGGGGGGGGGACCTCTGCTACAAGCCCTCTGGGGGAAGGTTGGGC